AGACGGAGTCATGTGATCAGAGACGGAGTCATGTGATCAGAGACGGAATAATGTGATCAGAGACGGAATCGTGATCAGAGACGGAGTCATGTGATCAGAGACAGAGTCATGTGATCAGAGACAGTCATGTGATCAGAGACGGAGTCATGTGATCAGAGACGGAGTCATGTGATCAGAGACAGAGTCATGTAATCAGAGACAGAGTCATGTGATCAGAGACAGAGTCATGTGATCAGAGACGGAGTCATGTGATCAGAGACAGAGTCATGTGATCAGAGTCGGAGCATCAGAGAAATGAATGATTCCTGCAGGAACAGATGAAACTCCACCAGCTTCAGGGTCACATGATCACCGTGTTACAACTTCTGGAAGTTACAGCTCATTTAAAGAAACATTTTGTTTGTTACATTTATGCTCATCAGATATTAAGCTTCATTTTATTCAGTTATTTTGGGAAACTTCACCTGCACTTTAGTTTTTGTGGTGGATTTATTGATCTATATTTTGTGCAGACTTTTTCAATCTCAATAACAGAAGGATATTTTTTATTTTTATACTTTGAGACTGAATATAAAGTAATTTCAGTAAAATTAACCCTTGTTGTTTTTAGTTTTTATATAATACTGCAAAGCAACATAAGTTAATTTTGTCAAATGAATAACTATGATTTCTGTTTTTTTTTTTTTTAAATCACAAAATTTATCGTTATCGCCAGAATGCTCTGAAATATCACGATATTATATTTGAGCCGTATCGCCCACCCCTATGTGAACAGTAAAATTAAATGTTTCTAGAACCGTCTTGACGTTTGTGACAACTTCAGCTCTCGTGTTTTCTGACATGAGACTCACGGGCAGGATCTCGAAGGTCTGCAGGGCCCCCGCGTTCAGAGTGATGGTGTCTCCGTCTCCGGCCGCCGCAGAATCTGAAGCTGCGAACACAAACACGCCGAGCGTGAGCGGGACCGACGCCTCCGGGCTGAAGGCGGTCGAGATCAGACGCGGTCTCACCGAGGTGTGTGATCTGCAGCGGGATCTGCACGGGGATCTGCAGCGCCGCCACTGAGCTGGGGGCGGGGCTTCCGCCGCTGCCGCTCTCGTCCAATCGGGTGAGTCGGATCTGCAGCGAGGAAGAGGGACTCCCAGGTACAGACGCCGTCTGGGAGGACGTCATCAGCTCCTCGAGACCTTTCAGGAGGACTGTGTACGCACACACACACACACGTGCACACTCTTATGCCATTCAAATTATTTTACTTTATTTTTTTTTACTTTTACGTAAAGTTTTATGTCATTAAGTATAGGTAGTTCAGCACTTCTTAGCTAATGTTTTGCTACTTTTAGCATACAGCTAGCATTTTGGACAACTTTAGCTAGCTTTAGCTAACTTTTAGCTTTTAGTCAGTATTTTGTTACTGTTAGCGTATAGATAGCATCTTACTACTTTTAGCTAGCATTTTAGCATTAAACTTATTTATAGCTTGTGTTTTGCTACTTTTAGCAAGTTTTTTTTTTTTACTTTAGCTAATATTTACCTACTTTTAGCTGGCATTTAGTTTTTCTACTTGTAGCATTTAGCTAATATTTGGCTTTAATAACCAACATTTGTTACTTTAAGCTTATAACTAGTGTTTCACTACTTTTGGGCATGGACTTGTGATTTTACCATTTAACGAGTGTTTTGGCCCATTTTTGCTAACGATATACCACTTCTAGCTTTTGGTTAACGTTTTGCTTTTATGCAGGGCCTTACTACTATTTTTAGTTAGCATGTTGCTGCTTTTACCATTTGGCTCACATTTTGCTACATGTAACTTTTTAGCTCATAATTTGCTACTTCTTTAGCTGTTTTTTTTTCTGTGTTAAGTTAGCAATAAACTTTTTGCAGGCATTTTTCTCACTTTAGCTTCCTTTTTAACGTAACTAATGTTTTACTACTTTTACCATTTAGCTAGCAGGCTATTAGTTTCAGCTTGTGTTTTGCTACTTTTAAGCCAGAGTTATTCATCTTTTAAACTTTTCGGCTAGTGTTTTGTTACTTTTGTAATTGGTTTGTGTTTTGCTAGTTGAACATTTTAGCAAGTTGTTCCTTTTAGTCTTTTTTAGCCAACATTGTCCTCTAGCTAGTGTTCTGCCACTTTTAGCTTTAGCAGCTAAGTTCTACAAACTATTTCCAGTTTGTTTTTCATCTTTAGGATCACGTTGTTTTTTAATTTAGAGGCCGGCTCCAGCTGCTCTGCGGTCGGTTAGCGCCGCAGAACGTTAGCCTTCAGTTAGACTCCGTCGGGGTTTACCGCTGAACGGGATCTCCTTGTGGTTGGAGACTTGTCTCTTGATGCTCCACCACTTGGATCGAAGCCACTGAGGCGAGCGGACGCTGCTCCACCCCCACGCCAGGTCCTCCCACTTGATCTCGTTCTCGTCCTCCACCTTCAGCGCAGATATCCTGAAAGTGCAGGGATTTCTTTCTCACACGGTGCGGGGCTGTCGCGCTCCCAACGGACGGTTCGTACCTGCGCAGGAGGTTCAGGTCGTCCTCCTTCGTCCACTCGGCTCCTCCGCTGTGTTTCCAGTTCAGGTAGTTCAGCCATTTTGAACGACACTGTTTCTCTGAGCGCGTGCGGACCCTGTCGGCGACCGTCGCCCAGGAAACCCCTCCTGTGACCGCCGACCCCGGCGACACGCCTGCCATCTCGTACACGACCTCCGCGAGGCGTTTCTCCTCCTCCTCGCTCCATTTACCTGAGTTCAAAACAGGAGTTTTAGTAAAAACGTTAGAAATAAAAAGCTGCCTGAGCTGTTTTAGCTCCTCCTCACCTGTGTTACAGGTGTCCTTCATCAGCCGACAGCGATCTTTGACCGAAGAGGCGCTGCGGCCGAGAGCCGCGCCGATCGTCGCCCAGTCGTTCCCGTGTTTCTCTCTCAGCCTGAAAACACAAGAGAAAATGAGCTAAAGCCAGCTAACATTAGCTAAAGTCAGCTAACATTAGCTAAAGTCAACTAACATTAGCTAAAGTCAACAAACAATAGCTAAAGCCTGCTAACATTAACTAAAGTCAACTAACATTAGCTAAAGTCTGCTAACATTAGCCAAATTCAACTAACATTAGCTAAAGTCAACAAACAATAACTAAAGCCTGCTAACATTAACTAAAGTCAACTAACATTAGCTAAAGTCTGCTAACATTAGCTAAAGTCAACTAACATTAGCTAAAGTCAACAAACAATAGCTAAAGCCTGCTAACATTAACTAAAGTCAACTAACATTAGCTAAAGTAAACTAACATTAGCTAAAGTCAACTAACATTAGCTAAAGCCAGCTAACATTAACTAAAGCCAACTAAAACATGAGCTAAAATCAACTAACATTAGCTAAAGTCAACTAACATTAGCTAAAGTCAACCAACATTAGCTAAAGTCAGCTGACATTAGCTAAAGTAAACTAACATTAGCTAAAGTTAACTAACATTAACTAAAGCCAGCTAACATTAGCTAAAGCCAGCTAACATTAGCTAAAGTCAACAAACATTAGCTAAAGCCTGTGAACATTAGCTAAAGCCTGCTAACATTAGCTAAAGCCAGCTAACATTAGCTAAAGCCAGCTAACATTAGCTAAAGCCAGCTAACATTAGCTAAAGCCTGCTAACATTAGCTAAAGTCTGCTCTAAAGCCAGCTAGCGTTAGCTAAAGCCAGCTAACATTAGCTAAAGTCAACTAACATTAGCTAAAGTCTGCTAACATTAGCTAAAGCCAGCTAGCATTAGCTAAAGTCAGCTAACATTAGCTAAAGCCAGCTAACATTAGC